CTCCACTGCCTTAACCGGGTATTGAACTCACACTATTTGGGTCCTGTCACTGGATCTAACTAATGCCTTTATCCACTGTGCCATGTGTGCCAGTGAGCGAAATAAAGGGTTCAGTTCGACATTCCAACCACCTGAAGAAGGCCGGAGCGTACAATGTCCGAAGCGTTGTAACAAATATGACGACAAAGATGAGGACAATAGTCCGAATAATGTAAATAAGGTACATAATACCTCATCTCAGAAATATAGACAGATACTGAAGAAGGCTGGAGCTTACACCGGCCGAAATGTTGTAATAAATATGGCGGCAAAATGAGGACAATAGTCCGAATAATGTAAATTATGTACATAATACCTCATCTCAGAAATATAGACATATACTGAAGAAGGCCGGAGCGTACATCGGCCCGAACGTTGTAATAAATATGGCGACAAAGATGAGGACAATAGTCCGAATAATGTAAATTATGTACAAAAAAACCTCATCTCAGAAATATAGACAGATACTAAAGAAGGCCGGAGCGTACATCGGACGAAACGTTGTAATAAATATGTCGACAAAGATGATGACAATAATCCGAATAATGTAAATAATATACATAATATCTCATCTCAGAAATATAGACAGTTTATTAAAATGTTTCCCTTTCTTTTTCACTTGTTCACTCACAGACTCTTTCAGACATCACCACATGCATAAATAATGATTAAGTACAATATTTCTTGAATTTTTTAAACTTTTCGTTGAAGGCAACGTTGTCAGCATTTAAAACCAATAACGATATTTCCTCACGAAGATCATACGTGTAAACTTCATGTGCTGTAGACACAGGAAACGTTCATAATATTTTTTCTCTGAAAAAGAAATATAATAAAAAAAAATATGACTAAATTGGAAACAAATCACACGCAGAAGCGTATGTTAATTACACTTGTCATCAGGGATAATATACCAAGCAAGACTTTAATTATAGAAACAATCTTTTCTCCAAGAAAAAAAAAGTATTGAAATTTCCTCATTTCTATGCGTATGTCCATCTGTCGTAGAAATGGCTGCAGTACAGGCAGTAAAAAAATCAGCTTGAAGTTTTTATTAGTTCGGCCCGCGTTATAATGAACTATATCTCATGCGGCCCAGTGTTAGGAAAAGCTCACCCACACCTTCCCCCAGGGGTTGACACACTCTGCCTCTCTGTTTCAGATTGGGGATAGTGGTAGGGAGTATAATTGGCAGTGTCGAGGGAGTTGTATTTTTAAAGTTAGGAGGATGAGGCGATATATTTTCGATGATATCTTCCCGGCATCTGCCTGCAGAATCCCATCTCTGTCGCTTCGTGAGTCTTCTTTATCTTCAAAGAAATTGTCCAGCTTTAACAGTCATATACAACAGATACTCCAAAATAAAACTCGGCCTTGTGCCACATCCGACCGCGTGAGGCGGTTAGTGAATATCGTCATATAGAACAGAGAGCTCGGATACCCCAAAATAAAACTCGGCCTTGTGCCACATCCGACCGCGTGAGGCGGTTAGTGAATATCGTCATATAAAACAGAGAGCTCAGATACCCCACAATAAAACTCGGCCTTGTGCCACATCCGACCGTGTGAGGCGGTTAGTGAATATCGTCATATAAAACAGAGAGCTCGGATACCCCAAAATAAAACTCGGCCTTGTGCCACATCCGACCGCGTGGGGTCATATTGAACAGACATGGCGAAACTTGCTTAATGTAAGAGCCACATACGATCATGTTAAGACGTTTTCAAGTCATGAAATTAATATTTACATTACTAAATATTTTTACTTATGTTTTAATTTAATGGGGTCTCTATTCATACCCATTAATAAAGCTTGAAAATTTTATTATTTACCATTTATATTAACTGCGATGAAAAAAGTACTCAGTCAACATAGTTCCACGAACCGCAAAGTTCAAAGAGCAGGATGTGGCTCGAGAGCCGCGGTCTGGCCACCCTGGGTATAAAAGGACATATGGGATATTGTACTAGAATTAATCTGGATTAATTAATTATTTTCACCGTTGTCTGGTCTACGTTTTTTTCCCTAGAAGCGGGAAATTGAAGTTTTTCTAATTGTTTTTATTTTCATTATCTTTATTTACGTGTCGTCTTCTTTCAGATGGTAGTCTATCATAGCTCTCCACAACTTCCTGTCCCTTTTGACTAAGCAACCTTTGTCTCTTTGTCACTGTTCTGACATCCATTCGCACAAACCCGTTAGGTCTGTTGCTCCCTATTTCCTCTGTACTTCTTCTTCCCTCTAGTGAGTATTTAGTTTTCCAAGCCGTCTGTCTTCATAATATGATCCAGACATTTCAACTGTCCTTTTTATGATTTTAGATATGAATGCCTTTAGTACCTCTTCGTTTCCCAAATGTTCTCTCCAGAGTATCCATCTGTAGAACCTTATCGTTGACGCTTCGAGTCTCTTCTTCATCTAGAGGAGACTAGATATGACATAGCAATTCTGTTAATTTGTTTCTAACTAAATTTTCTTATCTTTTAGTATTTTGTCGAGTTCCTGGAAGGCACCTTTCGTTATTCTGAGGCGTCTTCGGATCTCGGTGTCACACTTTCCTTCGTCTGTTACTACATTAGAGAGATAGTCAAGTTTTTGTACCTGCTTTATGCTGGAGTAATGGATAGCAGTTCGGACTAAGGAATCGGAGATTGGATGGCACTCGGTCTAGGAAGAAGGAAGACACGCTGAATTCAAAATCAGCCTACAGGAAACATCTCTGCTACTGATGGGCCCCCTCTACGGACCTGATGGGTTTACGGATGTTGTGATCATGATCTGCTTGATTCTGATGTCACCGATTCGAACTTCAGACTTTTGGCCCTATGTCCAGCTGACGACCATACATTCTGGCTTTTTAAAGTTAACGACTATAGTTAGACTTTTTAACATGACGTCAACAAAGTGGAGTGATTTTTCGTCTTTTTTTTTGTTGTTGTTGTGGTCTAGAAAAAACCAGCTCAGCGTTCATTCGCATAAGACAGTAGTTCCCAAACATTTTTCCCTGGGCCGCATTTTCGGAATGAAAATTTGCTCGGGCCGCACCAAATTTTATGTGATAAAAAGTATATCTTTTAAAAAAAGAGAAACAGAATGAGGGTTAAAGGGAGATAACAGCCGATTCAAAGTCAGAACATTATCATTGATAACTCTCTCCTCCAATTTGTGGACCCTAGTTACTATATTCTTAGTACTTCATATATAGTAAAAATATAATGATAGAATCGGTCAATAAGTATTTATATCTCGCAGTATCTTATGCAGATTAGATAGACAATTATAAATGGAGAACAACTGGCGAACATAGGGTGTCTATGCCTCGCAAATCCAGTTGCTATTCAGAAAACGGAGAACTACGACTACTGCTACACAGAGAGATAGCAAAACAGAACAAAGCTATTTATACTGGGACAAGAGATAATCAGTTACCCCGAAAAAAAGTTCGTGTTTTGTGTGCGATCTGCCGAAGAAAAATTACCAAAAAGTAGTCAGCAAAAATCTACATCAATGACTAGAAGCTATGCTAATGTTCTTCCCTCCCCTGAATGGCATAACCAATCATAAAATTCTCTCGGTGAACAGAAGTTGTTTTTCGCTTATAAAAGGAGATGATTTTTTTTGAGCTTGGTGGAACGAACACGCATTGTTGTTGGTGAGAAGTGAAGGTTGGATGTGTGACCCCCATTTTGTCATTTCTATGTTGGACTGTTACGTCGGACTATCATTTGAACTGCGATTTGGCTACAAGTGTTGCGGCTGAGAAACAGAAGAAATCTATTGCAGTTGCTACTATCAGTTGACAGTTTTTTCTTTACTACAACAGGGACGTATACAGCCAGATAAAAGTAATCCATAATAATATTTGAAATTTTGAAATGATTTATTTTGGCATATGAATTTTTTGAAACTGTTTCTAATACTTTGTCTTTCAATCATTCTGTCGCACTTGTTATCCTCTTTCGCCGCCCGTATGAGGCCCACTGCAGCGTTTGAGAATCACTGGCTTAAAGGAAGACATTAGACAGACACGACAGCAATAAGTAATGAAATACTTTCGACGTGAGAAAAGTATTTGGCGAAATGAGATTTTGGAGATCACTCAGGATGGTAAATACATTCAGTACAAGATTCATGGCCTTTGAAAAGGATTATTGCCTAAATTGCCGAGTTGTTGTCAAAGAAAGAAGAGAAATACGTTTCGAATGATTAGATTTATCTGTTTATGTCGTCTTTCATTCACCACATTAACTTTTTTATATTTCTTCACACGATCGACTTTATTTCTTAAACTCATTTTTAGTTTTGCCTTAAGAGATTTCAATTCTGCTTTATGTCCTTACTTATTAGTTTGTTTAGTCATTGTTTCTCATCTATCTATCTATATACATAGATACATATATATCTATATATATATATCTATATGTATAGATATATATATATACATATATCTATATACATAGATACATATATACATATATATACATAGATACATATATACATATATACATCTATATACATAGATACATAGATACATATATACATCTATATACATAGATACATATATACATATATATCTATATGTATATCTGTCTTTGTTAATATCTAAGTTTGTTATCTTTCTTTCTTAATTTTCTCATATCTATCTATCTATCTATCTATCTATCTATCTATCTACATACATGCATACATACATACATACATACATACATATCTATCTATCTATCTCTCTCTCTCTCTCTCTATATATATATATATATATATATATCGTTTTGCTAATATCTAAGTTAATCATTCTTAATTTGCTCATATCTATCTATCTATCTATCTATCTATCTATACATACATACATACATACACACATAGATACATGCATATATATATGTGTGCGTGTGTGTGTGTGTGTGTGTTTGTGTGCGCGCGCGTGAGTGTGTGTCTGTGTCTCGTTTTGTTAATATCTAAGTTTGTTATCTTTCTTAATTTTCTCATATCTATCTATCTATCTATCTATCTATCTATCTATCTATCCCAGTCTGTCCCTTATCTATCTATCTATCCCAGTCTGTCCCTTATCTATCTATCTATCTATCTATCTATCTATCTATCTATCTATGTTGATATCTAAGTTTGTTTTCTTTGTTTCTTTTATTCTTTCTTTCTTTTTTTCTTTCTTTCTTTCTTAACCTGCCAATATCTATCTATCTATCTATCTATCTATCTATCTATCTATCTATCTATCTATCTATCTTACTTTGGTAATATCTAACTTTGTTCTCTTTCTTTACTAATCCGCTCATAACTATCTATATATGTATGTTAATTTCTTTCTTTCTTTCTTTCTTTCTTTCTTTCTTTCTTTCTTTCTTTCTTTCTTTCTTTCTTTCCACTGGACAATTTTGTGTATCAGAGATTAGCCGGTTATCTTGATGTGAAAGCTGACAGATTCCAATTCGACTTCTAATCCTGATTTATTCTGCACGCAGCAGGTTGCCCCCATCGTGATGAAATGGTTTCCTATCTCATTTGCCCAAAACCTCTTCTATTCTCGATTAGACTGAGCCCTTCTCCCACGGATCTCACTCATCAAACTTATGAGAGTCTACAAAAGACATGGAAAACATTCCCAAATCTTGTTTCTCCAAACGAATCCACAATTGCAGACTAGTGAGTTCGAGTCTCAGTACCTTCTGAAAATAACTACACCCGAAGCAGCACACATTTTTTTAAATTTTTTTTTCTCTAGTTATTAGAATTGCTGGAACCCATTAACGCATGAAAACAGCAAAAAAAGTTACTAATATCCAAATAGAGACTTTCGCAGTAGCATTTTCAAAAATGTTTTGAATTTCAAGTAAGTGACAGGGTGTAATCGATTTGTATTTTTTTCTGCAGTAATATGAATCTATTTTCAGGGTGTATGATGAGATTTGTTTGGCCTGGAAAAATATTGCATCAACTGTGATTGCGTCAATATTTCATCACGCACAGACACTATTGTCTCGACTGTCAATTAGTTGTCCTACTGCTATTGTCTGCGATGGACGTTACTCCAAGGAAGCGTACAAAAATTGTAACGCTGCCATTGCAAGCCTTACCAGTAAGCAAATCAAAGTAATACCGACTGGCTCGGAAACATTTTGCCATGTTTAATGGATGTCAGTTATCAATTATCTCCTGTTAATTCCCCTCTCCAAGTTCTCTACTGCCTTAACCGGGTATTGAACTCACACTCTTTGGGTCCTGTCACCGGATCTAACTAACGCCTTTATCCACTGTGCCATGTGTCCTTGGCACGTGGAACTAGAACAGGCTACCCCAGTGAGCGAAATAAAGGGTTCAGTTCGACATTCCGACCACCTGAAGAAGGCCGGAGCCTACAACGGCCGAAACGTTGTAATAAATATGGCGATAAAGATGAGGACAATAGTCCGAATAATGTAAATAGTGTACATAATACCTCATTTTAGAAATATAGACAGATGTTCAGTTCGACATTCCAACCACCTGAAGAAGGCCGGAGCGTACAACGGCCGAACCGTTGTGATTAACATGGCGACAAAGATGAGGACAATAGTCTGAATAATGTAAATAGTGTACATAATACCTCATCTCAGAAATATAGGCAGATAATATGATCCAGTATTTCGCGTAAAGAAATAACTGCATTTCTCCAGACCTCATTATCAATCGAATATGTAATAATGTTCTTAATATGATTGCATTTTTCCTTTTGCTTAATTTTATTGGAAGAAATAACGAAAACGTAATGCAAAAATGCATGAAATGAGGGATTAAAATGATTAAGATAGATTAGAATAATTTTACACAGAATGTGGTTGAAAATCCTTTATCCGAATCGAGCCGAGCTTCTCGGCTTGACGGTCGAACTCTCTGCCTCTGAGCAGAGAGGAACCTGGACGAGTCTCCGCCGAAGGGCAGAGTCTCGTTCGGGGAGGTTGACCAACACGATTCTGTTTTTACAGTTTCTACGGACATTTTTTGCCCGGGCCTACGGGTTCGGAAAACCCACATAAAACTCGGCCTTGTGCCACATCATTCTCTCGTTGGGGGGGGGATAAATATCGAATCCTTTATCCGAAATTCTTGGGACCGGAAGTGCTTCCCTTTCCAGAATTATTTCCGGATTTGTTCCAGAAGTTCAGGTCAGGAAATCTGTCTCTTTGTGAGAAACTCTGTAATGGTCCCGAAGGATGAAACCCTGAAAGCGGCCATAGAGGAATAAAGTATCCAAACCTGCGGTGAACTCACCGTGCGCTTCTGATGACGGAGTCTGACATCTGCGTCGTTCAGGAATACATTTGTTAAGAACTTTTCCACAGGGATACCGTCAAGTTCACAAGTTTCATTGGAATCCAGTTTAGTGATGACAGCAGAAACACAGGCGGAGTTATATTCATATCACGTAGTAGAGGCACAATTCTAAGTGGAAAGCCAGGCAATATACCCCAAGTGAGTCAAGATTTGGAAAAGAATTTACGAGCAAAACATTTGGCTTTATCAGCAAATGATGATAACGCCTCAAACTGAGAGAAGAGAGGAGGGATAGAAAGAAAACTTACTCTTATTTAACACAGTATTACAAAGTCGTGTCTCTCAACGGCTGTTGTGATGCTTCTAGTGTGGTAATCTGTAGTGGTAGTGTTTGTCGCTTCTCGCTTTCAGTTACCGCCGCTGGCTAGTAGCAATGCGAAAAGGGGAGCCGAGTACGTAAGTCTTCCCCTGCCAGTATATAGTCTCTCCATTAGCAAGCCCTATGTAGTTTCTCCTCGTGGCGACACATGGCAACCGAGCACCTTGCGGATTCGGGCTAAACTACAGAGGACGTGGGGAGGAGGTTGGCTCCCTTAACATGCGGTATGCAGGCCCACCGGTGTGTGGACACACTCTGGTGCCCATGATCCAAATTCCATCTATGGGTTAAATAGCTCCACTACCTGTGGAAATCTTCCGGAGAAGAAAAGGCTAAGGAGTAATCCCTACACAAATCCGGAGTGGAGCCCCTAAGGCGGATGGACGGCACTCTGTGCTACCTTCCGGCAACTCCTGCAGCCGCGCTGGTACCAAACTGTATTGGTTCATCCTTTCCTTTGGACTCTGCTAGCAAGGCAGGGAGGGGGAACTAGACGTCCGGGCAGCCCTAGTTTTCCATACATCCCGCCCAGGCTCGTAGCGCACTAGAGAGGACCTGCCCCAAATGCCCGAGAGACTGCCCTTCCAGAGTGGGACTACACAGTCACCAGAGGCGATGTAACTCCATCGCCTAGCACCTACAGCGCTACTCCATCGTCTCCTGAGATGGACGGATGCCGACGACGACGATTACAATGTCACTATTAGTCATGAGAACGAAATTTGTTAAGGTCTCATTTTGTCAATAAGCAAAGACTTAGCCTCTTTAAGGACACAAAAGATTACAATTATTACGAACAGATACTAAGAGGCGTCTGTTGTAAACAAAACTATCACCTTAGGTACTACCAGAAAAAGTGGTTTATCTGGGTTAAAACAGATCAAAATCTAGGTGTAAACCAAGAAGATTATGGTTTCACTTGGTATTTCCGCAAACAAAAATCAACGATGCCGGCTTTTATCCAACAAGAAACCTCACTAGTATAATTCTCAATAGAAAGGTTAAACAATTTAACTCCAAAAAGCGCCAAAGAAAATTACAAAATGATTCCCATTTACTACGCTGGTAACAGAAATAAGTTTTGTGAATAGAAGGTATATATCTAATAGACATCTCAGAAGAAATATCAACAGAGAGGACAGCATGATCCAAATTGTCAAAGGGACAGAGTTTTGATACTCGGCAAGAGTCAGGGGTGGAGATAAGTAACAAATCAAGTAAAGAAGCATGAGCGATCAGTATTATTAGGGAAATGTAATATTTGACTGAAAGACTAAGCAACCTAAAAATTGAAAATCTGAATACTCACAACATCAATAACACTATCTATTTGTTCATATCTATCTATCTATCTATCTATCTATCTATCTATCTATCTGAATTCTTCCTTATCCCAGTCTGTTCGTATCTATCTATTTATCTATCTATCTTGAATATTAGAATATCTCATTCTGTTCATATCTATCTATCTATTTATCTATCTATCTATCTATCTGAATTCTTCCTTATCCCAGTCTGTTCGTATCTATCTATTTATCTATCTATCTTGAATATTAGAATATCTCATTCTGTTCATATCTATCTATCTATCTATCTATCTATCTTGAATATCAGAATATACCATTCTGTTCATATCTATCTATCTATCTATCTATCTATCTATCTATCTATCTTGAATATCAAAATCATTCGCTGGTTCCCAGACTTCATGAGTTCAAGTGCCCTACGAGGCTGGCATCCCGCTCTCACCCTTTCACTGTCGAAACTATTAAATGTAGCCGTCTCTTCTACTCCAATAGCTTCATATCTCGCACCTCTCGCCTGTGGAACTCCCTTTCCTATCCCAGTTTCCCTGAGAGCTATAATCTCCAACTATTCAAATGTAATGTCAATCGACATCTCCAGTTGTCTTGATCTATCCACTACCCTTCTCCTCATCCTTTCCTCTATCCCTCCTATCTGATCTTGCTCCAAATCTTCTGTAACCCCTTGCGTGCTAGTGGCTTCCCGTCTTGCTTGGGGTGAAACGCTTAAAAAAAAATATCCCAGTCTGTTCATATCTATCTATCTATCTATCTATCTATCTGAAGTATTAAGAAGCAGGGAAATTTCGTTAGAAACAAAGAAAAGAATACTGATCTGTTATGCAATATCACTCCTCCTATATGGCAGTGAATGCTACACAATCTCCTCACAAATGGAGACGAGACTTGAATCAACAAAAATGTCTTTCTGCAGAAGAATATTTGAGAATATCATGGACCAAACATGTGAGCAACGACGAAGTTATGAAGAAACTGTAAACAAAAACGACGCTTACACGTAGCATCAGAAAGAGACAGTTGAAATTTCGAGGGCACAAAACGAGGAAAGAGGGCTTGGAAATTTTAATACTCAAAACACAAATTGAAGGTATGAGGGACAGAGGAAAAACGCATAACCTTCCTAGTGAGATTGCATAAATGGACGGCGGGACAAGGTTTAGGAGAGATACCAAAAAGACAACATTTATTAAGAGCTACAAAAGACAGGAAATTGTGGAGAGCCATGATCGCCAAAGTCCTGAACGGACACAGTCAATAGAAGGAGAATAATACCGCAAATCTTTGTTTACT